TCAATGTCGTCGGTGCTAAGGAGGTATAAATCGCAGTCGGGTGAGAATTCGCAGTGAAAAGTGTCTCGGTTGACTCACACCTCGAAGTTAACACTTATGATGCAACGGTTCAGGTATTCCGTTGCTTCAAACTGCGAAACGATTGGCAAACTCAATCTGGCTTCTTCGCCATATCATTTTTCCTGAAGCACCCGATTAGATCGCGGTTTTCCCGTGAGCATACAAAATAATCCCAATTTCCGAATTCAAACTTTCATCGCTATTGCAAAATTGAATTTTCTTCCACTGACATGATAGGGAAATAATGAAAATAAACATGATCAACACTTTGTGTTATACGCGGATATTTGTTCTTTCTGATGATGGAACGGTTTTTTAGGCGAATCCGGCATTGTCTTTTGGCCCAGTGTTTGAACGCTCATAAATAGTGCTCAAATAGTTGAACCAATGCTGTTCATTGTGACTGGGTAATTACAATCGGGACAAATACCAGTCCTCGGACCCACCATTTTATCACAGCACAATGTGTTAGCGAGAACCTCCCAAGATTTGATCCGTGAGCCAATGTGTGATGTATACATCAAATAATGCAAGAAACACCATCTAGCTCGATGGATCGGCCAGCATCAAAGCACTCACCTGGAACTACAAACAATGAATATTGTCTCCGTCAAAGGATTTGTGAGTCAAAATGTATACAGTAATTCTTAGCAAGGTTTAGCCATTAGCAGCTGCGCCTTAGGATCTACGATTTCATCCGTTCTTATTTACGCGTCAGACCATTTGAAGGTTGTCCACAATAAGCCGTATTTGCGCGATGCTTGTTTCCGTCCGATAGAGTATTTCCGTTCTACCGCAGTCTTTTGATAAGAACGAAACATTTGGAGCATTGCAAGCAGGGAAAATTTCTGGGGATCTCCTAAATTTTTCATCATTTTACATACAGACTGTATTTGCCTTTGGGAGTTTATTGTCTACAGTGTTACACATATGCCTTCTCAATGAAACAAATGTAAGTAGCATACGGATCTGCTTGTAATTCACCAATCCTATTCTGTTGACATTTGTATGAAGTTGTATTTTTGGTGTTGAAATATCGCGAATAGTTGTCTACACACGTAGCAATGTATGAACTTTTGTAGAACATTCTAATTTTCTTTCACGAGTCGGTTCGATGACTAGAAAACAAGGGAAGTAGGGCGCAAGCGGTCGATGGTGAACAAATATGTTTCGCTACAATTGAGTGATGTAATTGCATGCACAAGATTTTGTACTTTCGTGCAAACGATCAACTCTTGTGTGTTCTCTCGTTGCGACGCGGGCTAATAAATAGCCAGTTTATGGATTGTTCACGACGAGAATCGGACGCCATTGCGTTTCTTACTCATTTGTCCTGCTAAACCCTAACACTCTGATGCGTAACCGCACTCGTATCGCATTCTTCCGTCCAAGTTTGTTGTTTTTCTGTCAACATCTGACAGTCTTCAATGCGCACGTTCCCAGTGTCATCATAATGTTTGTGTCTGTGTCTGTCAGTGTTCGCTTCCTGAAGAAGCACTTTTTCACTACAAACCTTTTGGTTATTAGTAGTAAGTTGGAGTCTAACAGTCATTTCTATATTGTGAGAAATTATCATCGCCATGGAGTTATCACGTGATGGACGTTTTCATTCCAAGTTAATATCCTAAATTGTGATCTAACTTGTCTGTAGTTGATTCCAAGGGCTAAATTGTTACAAAATACACAACAACCGTGGTTTATGGAAACTAAACCTGAAATGTCGCACGGTGATATATTCACTCCTATTGTTTCTTATATTTCCCTTTGCTATTTCAAAGCAAAACACAGTGATATTGCAGCCGAACACTGTAATTTCGCTACAGCGGCGAGGAAACAACCTTTATGTGCGTTTGTCTGAGGCTCCAGTTGTTTCACATAGAGAACTACATTTCATATGTATTGCATGAAGGAATTATTATTGAACATGAATTCATATTAAATTGATGTGTACCGCGGCTCGCTTAGTTGACTGTAGGTGCCCTCTGTGTGTTGCTGGTTGTCAATCTGATGTTCCGCTACGACGAAAACAGCATACATGTCTACTCAGCTTTGCGTTCACAATCTGCGAGATATACTAAAAGGACGCGTATTGAAAGACTATATGTCGAAGATGACTTGAGTTGAGCTTTATTCTTAAAGAGAATAACCTCAGCGCTATCACATTAATGCTAGGTAGGGAATAAGATATAATTTTGAATTTTATACCTTTAAAAATCTGGATCAAGTAGGTAAAGTGAAGCCAATAAATTACCTACCGATCGTAAGTTAGGGTATTTGACCCAATCAAATAATTCTGTACATGCGGGAAAATCATGACTGATAGATACATAGTTGCATCTGACTTCAGACTGCGGCATTTTCACCTATTTTTAAGCAATTAATGGAAGATTTTATTCAATTGCAAAGGTGAATTCGTTATGTATATGGCAAATGAGGCGGTATTTGGTTAATAAATCAAAACAAAGTTTCATAATTTGTCACACGCTACTAAAGAGTAGCTATGAGTTGAGGTCCAAAAGACATCAAATTTATGTCATTGTACTTGTCGTTTGATTCCACCAATAGAGCAGTGGGAAATGGAATGAAAGAGTCAAGAGAAATGAGGTAGATAAAATTGCGAATGATCTAGATTATTTTAACTAAATTGTTGTCGAATTTGTCTGCGGAGATTCCAGTGTTCCGTTCCAGATAATCTGAAAGCGAGATAAACCATAGATCATCCATCAGAATCGTCCTTCAAATTTTAGGAGTTTAAAATCACGAGAAAGATTGATTGATGTCTCATCAGGTCTGTATTTTAAAAGCTGACCCAAACGTGAAAATATTTGAACTTCAGAAGCTTCGGTGTGACGCAGTTCAAATGAGTCTAACTGAAAGGATTATTTCGAAGGATTTGACTGGATTTGACAGGATTCGATCCTTGAGAAGTCTAGGGTACGGACACCCATGGCAGTTTGTCGTCGAGTAAAGCAACATGAAAGTGACTAGTCAATTCAAGCCAAGCCAAATCCTTTGTACGATTGAGACACCCCGACAGGTTAACAATCTGCAGCTACATGATCAAAGTGGATCCAATAAACCAGTGGAATTTCACCTCAATTCCCGAGTGCAAGGTCAGAGCAAACTATAATTTATGACATGAGTGAGGTTAGTTTAGAAGCGACGCTTTTCGAGTTGCTAAGAGATCGAGCTATGTAAAGCATTACAGCCGACCGGTATGTGGTTGTGCGAGGAAACATACAGGTATGGAGGGGTGTCTCCGAAGCCTCGTTCATGTCTGGTGGGAACATCTGGTGATCAATGACGAGGTTCGTCTTTGTTTGTTGTTTGCGATAGTCGTTCTCTAACAGGAGTTTCGTTCTACACCTCTTCCGTTGGCTTGGACACGTTTTGCGTCAACCTTTCTATCGTCTAACTTATCGTATCCCTTTGCGTGTTCTGGGTGATGCTAGATGAAACGTCGCTGCGGTCAGACGATAACATGTCACAGGAGTATGAAGAAATCAGCTTCATCTTTGGCTTCGGTTTGTGCAGCCCACATTCCAGGTCGCGACAGAGGAGATGGCTTAAAGATGTCCGAATTTCACTCATCTACAATCTGCACTTCAGGTGCTAAGCTGACGGAAGACTGAGCGGTTGTTACGGTTTGCTTCTTAAGTAGCAATTCGTTGGCACAAAAACTTATGTGACTAGCTAGACTTTAATTAAACCAACCCTTCCGTGACCACCGTGTTCTTCATTGATAAGTTTCTTCTCCGTCTAAAGTTTCCTTTGTTCGATCCCAGTGTGGATCGATTTCATCCAGGCAAATGTATTTGGCGTCTAACGACTGGTCATTGTTCTGCTTGAGTCTCCACGGAATTTTCGTACTCGAGAGAGAGGAGAACATGTGCAATTACCTTCAACCTGTTCGAGGATAATGATGCTAATGCGTGCTTTTGCTTTGTAGACAGACTAATACTGCATGATCTATCGACCGTCATGACTGTAGGTTCAACTATCTTCGCCTTTGATAGGTACGCTTTCGTCTATTCCTTCCAATTGATCCTCCTATCGTGAGATGCAGTTTTCCATGGCACACTGATGAATTCGGCTCCGTGAGTCAGCCAAACATAGTTTTAAGCCACTGTTTGTTTGATTGATTTATTCACACAAACCTGTGGATTAATGAATCACCCAACTGCGATTACCACGCGGTCTCTTTTGCGTTCCGATTCCCTGTTTTGGGTTATGGATTCATAGCAGAATCATGCAGTTGCGTTGCGATCAGAAATGGTTTGTATTAGTCTTTCAATCTGGGATATGTTTACTTCCAGCGTGATGAGTTGTATTCTATAGTTCAATTGAGTTACACCATTCATTCACGGATGTATTTCTTTTTGACCTTGAAGACAATTGAGTAAATCACGATTTATACGCGACGACGCGTCAGTCCCTTCAAACAATGAGGTTCAATTCCATTTTCCTATGAAAGACTTGATACAATCGGTTTTCTAAAATACTATCATAAACTTTGGAAATATCAAATCAAGATTTAGCAAAATACAAGCAGATGAGAGTATTTGTTATTAGATTACTCACCTTGTTTTTCACAGTATCTTTCATCTGCAGCTTCGTACGGTCTTCTTCTGTTCACGTTGCCACTGTAAACATGAGGATGACAATTATAATAATAAGTTCCGTGTGGTTCATTTCATGGTACACAACTATGGGATTCTTAAACCAATTTCCCATCCCCACCAGAAGATCTGTTGCGTAAATGAAATCAGATGTAAAGGTTGATTGCTCGAAATACCGGGATACACTAACCGAAGCAACAGTTCAGTATGCTGGTGGCGTTGTTGTTGATGTGGATCTGTTTCGAATTACAAATGCGAGTCAAATTCAAACATTTCATGAAATGGCAATACTTGTGTCAAAGAGGTTTCTTCTGTCAGGACTCACGCTTCTCCGTAATTGCACACAATTGATAAATCGTACGGAAATGCTTCGGTCTTCGGACACTTTGTGACACCACAGCCGACGTATTTTGTTTCAGCCCAGACGAGCTAGAGGTGGAACAATAGCAAACATAATGAGCTTAACCCAATGGACAACAAACGGTGTGTGCAAAGGAGAGCCAGTATACAATAGGTGCAGAGCACAATTACTATTCAGGTTGGTACACGTCTTGCATAAGGTCGAATTGTAAGTGCATCACCAGACTATGCATTTGGGAATAGAAGGCGTAGAGGCTATCACAAGGTTAATTCTACCCATGGCAATTTATCAGCATATCTTGCAATTTACCAAGAACATACATGCATTGAGCAAAGAAATGATATGAGTTGGAGATAATCATTAATCTCACCTGTGTGTAGTGGCCACATACACCTGAACACGTGTTTTGAGTGAGGTTATAGAATCGGTGCTCTTCAAACCATCGAGTGAAACCCCTGAAAAGGAAAAAACGCACAGTATATGGGTCTACCGAATTTCGTTTACTCACCTAAGCACACTTGAGCTACCAGCAATGTTCTGACCAACGTGACGAAAGCCTGAAACCACTCGATCTTCTTTCGGATCATCTTTGAAAACACACTTGCCGCTCCATTCCTGAGCTTTACTGGCAAGTCCTTCATGCCATTCCTCGAGGGGGAAGCGTAACGGAGAGAGATAGAAAAAAATGGAGAAAATAAATCATTGCCAGTTGAAATTCACAACACCAGTGTTTCGTCTTCGCGACACTGAGTGATAACAATACAATTTGAAAATGATGACTGACCAGCCGTTCCATTCGCTTCACTGGAGGCTGTCCTCGAACCTTGCATTGACGTATTTGGTCCCTCGCGTAGTTGTGTATGGCAAGGAAGATCGGCTCGTCGAACATCACCCTGCTACCTGAAGTCAATGTGATATGCACGCACACGAGTATCCATGCGTAGACTGCCATAACTGTGGCATACACTTGTATGCGATTCGGTCACCTAAATCTCTTTATATAGGCTTGCTTTCTGAGAACACAAGGATTCACAGTGATTCATGATTTGTTGTAGATCAGAAAACCAATAAGAAAGGTTTCTGGTCCAAAAATCACAACCAGGTTACCGCGTTATTTTTTACGCGTTCTTCATAAATGTGCGTTTGTGTGTGTACACATTTTAATTTCACAGTGTGAAATTGCAAATGCGTACATATTACGTAGTGGTATTCGAGTTGAGGCAATATAAAAAGTGCCCGAATCGGAATTGGCATTCCAAACTGTAGATACACGTGAGGAAATGAGGCCCTGTTTGAAGTCTAAGTGAAGCACAAGACACCATTTGAGTATTAAGACCGAATTCGAAATGTGACGCGAATGCACAGTATTGTTGCTGTAACTGTATATGCACTCCTTATTTACCCAAGACCGGAATTGTCTGACCTGTGCACATTTTCAACTTGCACTGGCAACCAGTTATCCGGGGTGAATGCTTGACAGTCTTGGTGCTGACTATCGAACCGGATGCTCCAGTATTCATTTCCATTTGAGCAGGTGCTTCCTTGATTTCGACTTGTATGTAATAAAGCAGTGGACGTGAGTAACCATATGTCATGACCGTATTTACTTCTTCAAATATGCGTTCGTTTCCCGTGTTATTGCTTACTTCGTCTTGTACGGCAGTACCAGGTTTGCCAAATGATTTTCTGTTCGGAAGGTTCTGTGGTATTGCTTTGCAAACAGGTGCCAGATGCCCGACTCACCCCTAGTGGAGACAAATTGTTTACTTGTGTTGACATTATTCCACGGATAAATGTTTATTTCCGCAGCAGGAACATAAAAACTCCTTGACGAAACGCTTTCTGGGTGACGTGATCTTTCGCGTCCCTGGTTGCTCATTGAATTTTGAATTGAGAGAAACCCGATGTAGTTGATGGGTCTTGGGTTACTCTTAAAATGAAACAGTTAGTATATTCTTCAGCGTCTTGGTGCAGTTTAGAAAAAACAGTGTCGGATAGTGTACCCACTGGGTCGCGAAAGCTAGAATTCACTAAATGTATTGAATAGTTTGTCTAAAGTGCTATCGTCACCAATATGTAATGCGTTGAAATGACGCTGGACTTCATCATCGAGGAATGGGAGACAGAGTTTTACTTTGTGCAATTCGGTAGAACAGTTTATGGGCGAAGCACGGGTGGCAACTCACGGTGATCTATGAATGCCTTTTACATCGATTCCATGTGGAACAGGATGGTTTTCCTGTGGCTGAGTATCACACCGGCGAAGGGAGATGCAACAAAATTGGTGTCTTATTCCCGTCGAAAATATTGTTAAGACCGAATTCCAACCGCGACGCTAATACACAGTATTGTTAGGGGCCGTAACCCAACACAAGAAATCAGAACGAACACGAGAGCATGTTGATCAGAACCGGGTTAACGATTTAGTGAAGGATCGTGAGAAGAAACCAACTAATTAAACGATGGTCTGAAGATAGGTCAAACTGGCTCACGGAAACTACGGCCTGGAAGGATACAGAAGGATCAGTGTCTGTCATTAACAACTGTATCACGTGATTGGGCAATCAATGGGAACTGATGGACGAATGCATACGTAGCAATAAGTTCGACAAAAACGCTAAACTGATTGGTTGTGATAATCCACTGGAAAATATTTGAAGGGGATACAAAAAGCTATAATGACTGTAGGAATAGGTTTTGCTTAGAGGTTTAGTGACATCTGCAATCCGTGAGGTTTGGTGAATTTGAAACAAGGCTGCCATTACCAGCCGGTCGGGTGATTTCACGCCTGACTAACGCGGTTTACGTGGTGTGTTCGGAGTGCATCAGGGAAAACGAATACAAAACAAGAGGCTTCGGATCTAACTACGGGTAAAATGTCGGTGAACTCGGAAGTTCATGGTATTTGGTTCATTTTCTAACGATTTGCTTAATGTTAGTAGTTTGTTTATTTTCCGGTTTGTGGTACACGGCTGGTGACCAACTGCAGCGTCAGTCACATAGATTGCGACATTGAATTGCAGTGTCAGAATCGTTTGCATCTATTGTATAAAAGAAAACACATTGTCGGTCAACTGATTCCTGAGTCCCCACAAGTCTGATCGAAACAAACAGTCTAAGTTAAATAGGAGAATATTTCATTCGTGTGATTCTACATGGTGTGCAGCACTCGCTTGTGTTGGTCATAATTCACCACAACGTATGACTGCCGTCCACAAGAACAAGTTCCTCCTACGTTGGGCTTCATCTGCACATGTTCAGACACATGAGACTAATGATGACCAACTTTATTTTCCCTAATACCGGTAAGTCTTGGGCGTTGTGATGCAATGTGTCAGATTATTCGTATGGTTGATGAAGTGTCAATGGTGTGGCCGGTCTCCAGGTTCATTCATATCACATCTTAGTTGAAGAGAATGATCATCGTTGATACTTTGTAATAATTGTCTTGTCGGCCGACCTTCGTGAGCCATACCATATGTGCCCCTAATTTCTGGACAGACATAGATAAATTCATGAAATTCGGCATGGGAGCTGGACTGCGACGCATGAATTTGAACCGGACGTTTTGTCTGCTGCATCACTTGTGAAACAAGAGATTTGATCATAAGTCTGTTTGTCTTCGTTATATGTGTGTGCACAATGTACGTTTGAGTTGAATCAATGGCCACAATTAGTGATCTGGAATTTGTCAAAGCAACAATGAACCGAATTTGTGTTTCTAGGCAGATTCCTCGAAGACAATTAACATAAACTTCATTATGCTTTTGAACGATGCTGTCCAATCCTGTCGGGACTATTTTAATCCATCGGTTAATCTGTGTAAGTAACCTCTTACTGATCGCATTACTACATGCAAAGAGACCATACGGATCACATACAGATATGCAATTATTGAGAAGATCGAGGGAATTTCACTCTCTAACAAAGAATCAAAGTCACAGAAAATGTAGAGAATATAATTCACTGTAGATCGTGTAATGTGTAGAGCAGAATCATTGATTCCAAGTGATTTTGAGATATTCAACAAGGGTATCTGTGAGCGAGATTAGTCACATTTGCACATAAGACTAATGATTACCAACTGTATTAATCCTATAGCTTGTAACTCCTGGACGTTGGGTATGTGAGAGCGAAATTAGTCA